TCCCTAACGTTCTGGGATTCTGTGAAACAACTCAGCAAAGCCTCTGCTGAAGGCTGTAGCCACTGCACCTTCTAGCCAAGGTGAAGGGAAAGTGCAGCCACCTAACACAGGTGGGAGTCACAGAGAATTACTGTGGCTTTGCATGCATTCACAACTGTGACACTGCTGGGGCACCACCACCAGCCCTCATCACTCTTCCTCTGGAAAAAGCAGTCTCGAATGTTGCTGCCCTCAAGATTACCTGTGGCAGCTGGGGTCTTCTCTCCTGAATGCTGTATTTCACCCAGGCCATCACCGCATTGAACACCTGCTCTTCACTGCGAACATTCAACTCGTCACTGGATATAATGTCTATGAGCTGATTGGCAGGGAGCAGCATGAACTCCTCACTCTCCATCACCTGGTTCAATGGAAAGAAAAAAGAAAAATACAAAGAAAGTAAGGACAGTGACCAAAGCACCACAGCCATTCACCAGGCCAGCACTTCAGTGCAACTCGGAAGTGGATACAGTCCACTTGAATTCGAGTCTAATGGACTGATCCAGTACAGTGCCAAATACCCATCAGTGTTTTGACAGCAACACATGCGAAGGTTTGCTGCGCAGAGCAGAATGCAGTCCTTAGCAACACAGACACCTTTAGATGGGGATGCCAAGAAAAGGGAACTTTACACAAAGTTTTTTTGTAGGACACTTGAAAGGTTAAAGCACAGAACACACTGATCAGGTTTCAAAACTGAGGGAATACAAAGCCCTTCATTAAAATCAGCCCCCTTGTTTGCCATGCCTAATATATAAAGCAGAAATAAAAGTGCTGCATACGTGATAAATATACATGACTGAGAAGTGGTTTCTATTCACAAGAAATCCAGAACAGAGCACAGAAATTAGAATCTCGGAAACAAGTTACCAGAGGCACTGCAGAGAACATGGAAAGCCTTCCTGAACACCGATCTGTGGCACAACAGAAAGTATTTCAGGAGGGGGTGATGGACTCATTTGAATCCTGCCTCTTTCATTTGTTCTAAATATACACGGAGTATGCACAAGTCCAGATGCACTTGAGAGGGATTCAGTCTCCTGAGGCCCTGAGGACTGATCTCTTGTGAAATTCAAGCCAGTGACAATCTGCAAACACGTTAAGTCCTTCAGCACCCAAGATAGCGACCGAGTTTCTCAGGAGGTTTTAGGTGCCACGGGACGACCGCTCACACAACACACCACGGAGCACACGTGAGTCAGCCTGTGACTGCCTTCAGAGCTGACAGAGCTCACACACCACCACGTCTGCTGCAGCAGGGTAAGGTAGATGGGAAAGACACAAGAATCAAAATAGAGAGAGCTGCAGACACAGTTTATAACTGCCAGCTTGGCTTCCCTACAAGCACTCCCAGTCTGTGGCCTCTAATGTCCAAGAGGTTCAATGATGGAAAATAACTGCATGTTGGCTTGCTCTTATCATTTGTGACATTAGGATTCCAGGACTTATTTTATGATTTGCAGCATAAAGAAAAACACATTCTTTAACATAACCATCTCAACAGCAGTCAGCTGTGCAGTCCTTTTAATTACCTAGAGAAATTAAGAGCACTGAATGAATACACAAAAATTGTCAAGTGCTGCAAACACAGGTAAAAGGAACCCAACAGACAGTGAGATCAGTTACCAGACTTTGTTCTAGGATCTCATGGGCTTTCAGGGGCAGTAAGAGCCACAGCAAGGTTAGCCTACACGCTCCTTCAGCCTTAGGAAAATAACTGGGTTGGTCAATAAAGATCCTTATCAGCACCTTCCAGTCTCCTTCCCGTTTACATAGACCAGCTTATGACTAAATTTTACCCTGACAGTTTGTGAATGCAGCCTCGGACTCTGCAAACAGAAGCTCTGGAAATTTATGAGTTAAGGATGCTAATCCAGACTCTCCCTTCCACCCTCAGAAAACCCAGGTGCATCCATGGCTTCACAAAACTCAAACTACTGGAAGCACTTCTACAAACCAAGTTATTACTACTAGGCAACTTGTTAGTTTACATCGTAAAACATTATTATTTAAAATGCTTTGGCTTATTTTGGCTTAATTATCAGGACACTAATACTTATCTGATTAATATTAATAGTCTATTTGACTGACTTGCTTACTAAACAAGAATTGGATGGGCTTCATTTCCTCTACAGTATTCATTTTGCCTCTATTTGCTGCATTTACAAACAGAATAAATGCCAGATTACACAATATGGGGAGCAATTTTTGTCTGTTGATACCAAGTACAAGTTGTTCATCCTGAAGTGTATTTCCCCCCCCACACACACAGATGTCAGAGACCAAACAAAAAAAAAAATGAAAGCTGTTCCTGTACAGCAGAGCTGTTAACAGAACCAGTTCACATTCCATCCACAAGATTCACGAGGGGTTTTAGGCAACAAATTGAGGGGAATGGAAAACTTGGAAAAACATTTTACCAAGAAGTTAATGATGTAATGCAGCAATACACATAAAAATCAATAGAACCAGAGGTCAGCACAGCAGAGGACAAGAAGCAATTCAGACCGCATTCAAAGTAACTGCATGGGTTGGCTTGATGCCTAGCGCTTAATATTTTACATGGCCATTCAGGAAATTCCCATCTCACGTTTCTTTCTGCCAGCTTGGAGGAACGGTGACCATACAGCCCCTGCAGAGAAAGGCGCATTTTCCATCAGCCCTCCACCTCCTCAGCGGAGGATGATTAAGCAGCCAAGTCGCTGGCTTCCATCAGGGATTACCAATCCACTCTCCAGATGGAAAACAACAGCAGGACAGAACACAGTCCCAACAAGCAGCATCGTTAGGATTGTCTGCAGTGGAAGTGAAAGAAGTGATCGTTAAGGATGAAGAGCAGCAAAACTCCCAGGGCACCGCAAGCGACACCAAAAACCTGCCCAGGCTAAAGGAACAGTGCTCTGATCTAACAGTTGTTTTCCAGAGGCCATGATTCAGTGAAGTCAATTATAATTTGCATCACCTTTGAGGAGAAGAGTGTTTCCTCGAGTCCAAAGCTTTTGCCTTTGTGTGCTTTAGCAGGGATAAGGAAGACAGGAAGCTGTCTTCAAGGGACTGCAAAGGAAAAGAACCCCACAGCAGGCAGCTCTTAACAGCCAGCTGCATGGATTAATAGTAAAACATCTAAAATTGTTATGCTGGTAAAAAGTTATTTAGAAAATTGTAAGCATGCCCTACTCATGTAATCACAAGAAAAGCATAGATCTAACCACTAAAACAACTGAGCACTGAAAATAAATGACCATCTGGTTACCATCCTGCTCCCCCCAAAAAATGCAGAAGAAAAGAAATGCAGAGCAAGCACACAGCACATGAAATGACCAGCTAAAATGTAGGGCTTTTGGGAAATCACCAAGTTCTACAAAAAACAAGCTCTCATGTTAAGCAGCAAATTCTATTTTCTAGTCTTTATGGTTAGGAAAGACACATTTAAGTGCAACTTTTAGAGTAAACTGATGTTATGTGTCTATGGTGAGATACCAAGTATTGTCTTCCAAGTGTCCAACAGTCAAATCCAGTTGTGTTTGCTTCTGCTCATAATTTTCTGAAGTACTACCTGACTGAAATCAGTACAATTCCAATCTGCTTCCTGAAAGGGAAAAAAGCAACAAGCTGCAATCACCCACAGCAGTTACATACTGCCACTTCTCTGGAGAATCTAAATTGGCATCAGGAGTTGATGCTGGAGTTACTCCCTTTGGAAAGGCTCGATCTGGGAAGCAGGTGCAAAGGGGAGATTTTTCCACAGCACACAACCTGTGTTCCAAGGGATGGAAGAGTGCGGTCTCTGGAAAAGCCAAGAGACAAATCTCTCTATAGCAGGGGACAGACGGTCAGCGCACTCCTAGAGAGCAGCTGCTTCCAAAACATACACAAGTTCTTGCCCTTCCAACCAGGGCTCAGGAAAGACACAATTTAAAATTGCTGGGCTCCTTTCTGCATCTGAATGTAACAGTTAAAGACCTACTCTTATTGGAATATTGCTTACAGAATCCTTAATTATTATGCTGATCCTTCCCTGAACCAGTTGCTGGCAATCTTTTTCCCCCCAAAATAATCTAGGCAGAATTAACAAAGGGAAAG